GTGTCAGAACATCTAAATACATCACTGGAAATGTGGGCCAAGCACAGAGTGTTTCATTAGGCTACATTTTGTTATCTGTGACTGTCAAGCAAAACAGCAGATACCAACCCAATGTTTTTACATGCAGTATGAGTGAAAGAGTATTATTGTATCAGGTGTAAGTTATTGTCGGGTGATGGTTACAGCAAAAAAACAAAACAAAAAAAAAAACGAATAAGTTAAGGATCATTTGTAGTTGCAGCTGGAAGCTATACAAAAGCACAGTGAAAATGGTAGTTATTTAACCTTGACCTACATTATCATTATCCATGACATACAATGATTCTATCAGCACGACTATGGTCCCAAATTGATGACTTTATTCTTTGGCACTGGAAAATAAAGCTTGGCATTGAAAACAAAACAATAGCTGAAAAAAACTAGTCAGGATTAGATTATCAAGGAGTATAAGACTGTTTGAAACACTGACAAAAGAAGATTGTCAATGAAAGAAAAACAACTTTGGCATAAAAAAAGACTTATGTTAACAAAAAAAAAAAGAAGATTGTCATTTTTCCAGTATTAATACTTTATTTTAATACCCCTTTTTCCATGCAAACGTTTCAATGCCAATGTTTGCTTATCCAGTTATACAGTTGTGTTTTTTCCAGTAACGGTTTTGTTTTAAATGCCAAGCTTTATTTTTCAGTGCCAAAAACTGGTCATCCATCTGGTGCCATACACTACGTCACAAATATGTTTGGGCCAATAGAAACTCATGTTGGGCGTTCTAAAGTCTATCACGCGTTTCCTATTGGTGGATTGGTCAGTTGTAGGCGGGATCTCACAGTCCTTCACCAAAACAGCTGAATGCGTGCAGCGACAAGAGCGATAGGAGATTGATTAGCGCAAGAAAAGTCTCAAGAAAAAAACGAATGGACCGAAAAATAGGACTCTAAACTAACAGCAAAAGCAAAGCTGGGGCGTCAGGTAGGAACAGTGTCACTACAAACGCGGTTACTGCAGTTTTAATGGTTGTTTGCTGACACATTGAAAGTGGACAAGCTCGCACTTGAAGTTAGTGTCTAATGAAAGTGTTAGCTTTGGCTTTTGCTACAAGGACGTTGCGTTTCTTGGGGGGTTCTGTGGTTTCTGACCCTCCACAAAATTGCATTTTAGCTGAAGTCATGGCGTTACAAGGGACAGAAAAACAAACAAGCATGAGAAAGAAGTTGTGCAACGTCAGTCATAAGCTGTGGCATTCATAAGATGCTTTTGCAGGGCTAGGAAAGTGCACTTATGATGACAGCTTTTGGCTATAGTCTCCAACATGTCCATATGTCAAACAAATGGAGCAAAATAGCAAAACAGAAGAGATGTCAAAAGTCAAAGCTAACAAGAAACCCATCAGCTGCAACTGTCCACTGTGAGCTTCACAGAGCTGGTATTTATGACAGGGCTTTCCTTCGGAAGCCTGTATGTATCCAGGGCCACTAAAAGGCAACAGCTGGTGACTGAGACAATAAAGAAGGGACTGATAATTATTATTTCTTTTTAAACCGCTTTCCTACGTTAGAATTCATGTGTATTGCAGCTTGGAAAAAGTGAACAGATGCCCCAACTGGTGTGGTTACTCTGAAGTGATTTTAAGGGACATAATTAGGCCTTATTTTCTTAATCAAATGTGAACAAACATTCTGTTCCCTCATGATGTCTCAATGTTCAGAGTAGCCATTGACAGTTGTTACAAGGATGAAATGAAACGTCTTCTGTTTCATTCATGGGAAGGACTGGGTTTCTTCTCAGTACTTTTTTTGTGGTATCAATGTGTCTGTAGCACTAAATATAGGTTGTCATACGTTGAGAGCGTTAAATGTGTGGTAGGATTGGTAACCTTTTTGAGTTGCTTTCAGTAGAAGTGTGTACTTAAATCAAAATGTTATTGTTTCTTTTGATAAAATACTTTTTGATAAGGACACCTTTTCTATTTCTCAAAGTCAAGTATAATTGCTGACACTATTAGAATTTTCAAATAGCTCATAAGGACTTGACTCCTTAATATGGTGCAGTCTCCATCGACACAGCTCAGGACTGGTCTGACAGCATTTTAGTGGCTATGTGCAAAACAGGCAGGGTCTGTTGGATGTTAGCTTATTTTACTGATTGAATGAAGCTTCTTTGTTTGAATGTGTTGTGTATCTGTTTTACATGCAGTAGGCCCACAGTTAGAGGTTGCTGATGATGGAGGCCAACAGCGAGACCAAGAAGATGAGCTCTTACCTCACTGGCACCCTATCCTCTGAAACCCAGAAACTGACCCCACCCAAAGGCACAGGTACACTACTACACCAATAGCATTTTTTTATCAGATAAAAGTTCACCAAATTTATTTGATGCGAGTACAGATCTAGGCCATAGGTGTGTCCATGATTTGTTTAAGGCTTAAATTTCTGAAATTTTAAGTGTGGTGAACCTGCTTAGTAAATTTAGGAACATTCCCTGCATTCCCTGGCGACTGATCTGCCATAAACATTTATGTCTAATATAAAATTTAACTGAGTTAACTAGTTAAATTATTGAGTAGCATCCCACCTGCTAGTCTGGAACTTGGATTGATGTAAAAGCCTTCCTCCGTGTTTTGCTCAGCCAAGTTATCCAGATGTTATTCTGTGGTCATTCAGCCAAATCAAACCTGTAGTTTGCTGCATGTGCAACTTCTTCACACCATTATGTTCTCAGTCTCTGTAAATGATGAAGCCAGAAGATGTTTACAACTTTTTTTTATGCTTGCGTGATGGTCATTCTGACCTTGGTGGCCTAATGCCAAAAATGTGACTAACTGTAAATGTGTTAGTTTTTTTTTTCTTGCTGATAATTGTTATCAGGGTTTATTAGCCTGCACCTGCACGCCAAAATGCAAGAGCGCTACCCCTGAGTCTTGAGAATCTGGAACATCCTGCACAGTGTTGATTTGTGCAGCAGCAAGATGTCAAAAGAAGAGAAACCTGTTTCCAACAGTTGTGAGGAAGTTTGGACAGTCTCTGCAATGTGATACTACAACATTTGTGCTTGATTAGGATGCATGAAAATACAAATACTGAAGTGTCTTGGTACTGAATTTGGGACGATTATTACCTGTCGGGTCATGACAGGCTGAACAACATTTCCCAGTTGTGGAGCCTCTAGCTGTGGTAATTTGTGCATTTTAATGTACACTAGCACATGGCTGAAAAGAAACACTCTCTGGATTAAAAACAGTATAGAGAGCAGCTGTAAAATATATTTGCAATATTGCTGTACAGATGTCTCATTTAAATAGCTAAGAATCTGTCTCATGTTACTTTACTTGAGAACAATTATTCTTATCAGCTCCACACAATAGAACAATGACAACCACTTTCCTTAGTTTAAGTCGAGCAGAAACCTCAAAGCCTGAGAAGTGAAGCTAGGGCAAAAGTTAAGACCTGAATAGTCTTAGCACATTAAACAGTGTAACCCCATTATTAGATAATATCACATAACTGGTCGAGAGAGAGGGTGTGGTGCAACAGGACCCTGCAGTTTGCAGCTGTGTCTCTGTTTTTCTTGCATCTTGCACCATGATAATCAGATCAGAACAAAAAGGAAAAAAGCCTTATTATCACGATTATCCAGACAGTTGTAACTAAACCATTTGTAGTACTTCAAACAATATTGGTGACATTTAGGACTGCTTGTGTCAGTATCAAATAACAATTTTGGATCTTTGGATTCAGAGATAAAAATGATCTATTATGTGCCTGCATGCTGAATTCATCAGTCGTGCACGTGTTCCTTCCCTATCTGTCTCGCTCTAATGATAACAAATGCATATTAGGTCACAGTGATAGAGCACATGGAAAACAAACTCAGACTTTAACCTCTCTCTTTCTGTCTCTCTCTCACACACATTCACACAATAGCTTACAAAATTGCTTCAGCATTTTCCCTGTGAACCTCTGACCTCTGATTCCACACAGTCAGCAGTGTCAGGGCGACGTCATGGTTGGAGTAAACCTACAGGGCAAAAAGCTGTAGCCCTGCCAGACAGTATGGCATTCAGTTATTTGAAATATCTTTTTTTTTAGATATTACAATGTTTTATTGATGATTTCTGGCATTTTACCCTGTTTTCACTTTTGCCTGAGTATATTCTCTGACTCTCTTCTGTCCCTCTCTCCAGGCTGCAGCTGGCTAGCAGTGGTAGCAGCTGTGGTGGCCTCTCTAAGTGGCCTGATGTTGGGATATGAAATGGGCCTGACCTCTGGAGTTCTGCTGCAGCTGCGTGGCCTCCTCGCCCTCTCCTGCTGGGAACAGGAACTGCTGGTCAGCTCTCACTTGCTCGGTGCTCTCCTCATCTGCTTGGCCGGAGGTCCCATTCTTGATCATTACGGCCGCCGGTGCTCCTTGGTCCTCAGTGCCGCACTAGTGGTCGGAGGCACCATCGTCCTCATCGCTGTCAACTCACTTGTTTCACTGACTATGGGTCGAGTGATAGTTGGTATGGGAACAGCACTGTCTGGGACAGCAGCGTGCCTGTACATTGCAGAGATCTCACCGAGGGAGAGGCGGGGTCTGTTGGTGACACTGTATGAGCTGATGTTAGTTGTAGGTGTAATGCTGGGATTCAGCTGTAGTTACGCCTTTGCTACTCTGCCTCATGGCTGGGTGTATACGTTTGGACTAGTGATTCCCCCGGCGCTGCTTCAAATAGGTGCATTCGTGTTCCTTCCACTCAGTCCACGCTTTCTGGTTGCTCAAGGTAAAGTGGAGCAGGCCAAGATAGTGCTGGCCAGATTAAGAGGTGGGGTTACGGAACATGTGGAAGCGGAGCTCAGGGACATCCAGGCTGGACTAAAAGAAGAGTCAGAGCATAGTTTTTGGGAGTTGTTCAGTGCCAAGGCCAACCTGCGTTCAAGGTTGCTAACAGGTGTAACGTTGGTCTTCCTCCAGCAGGCTACTGGTCAGCCGAACATCCTCTCCTACGCGTCACCACTTCTCCGCAGTGTAGGCTTCAACAGTGACGCAGCAGCAACCCTGGCCTCCACGTGGTTCGGAGTGGTAAAAGTAATAGGCACCATCCCAGCTGTGTTGCTGGTCGACCGTTTGGGACCTAAGAGCTTTTTGTGTGTGGGTGCTGTCACAATGGGAATGTCACTAGCGGTGCTCGGTACATTGACACTGCAAAACCACACTCAGCTCACCAGCGTCTGTCAAAGTCAGACTACACTAAACTACACACACACGCCCTGGGATTTAAATAGAACCTCAACAGACTCGAACAGCAGTGACATTTTCTCCGCTCGCCTCTCCAGCCAGTGGGACAGTGACAAGGCACAGAGGACTAACAGAGAGGATGGTGAGACTGGGGTGTCGGAAGGAGGAAGGACTCATGTAGAAGTGCCTTCCACACTGAAGTGGGCATCACTGATCAGCCTGCTGGTATATGTTGCAGCCTTCTCCATTAGCCTTGGGCCAAGTAAGCACCCAGTTATTTAGTTCTGTTCACCCCTTCCTTTATGCTCACAGGCACACACAAATTAAAATGAACAAGGACACCCTCAGGCCGTTTTATCTTTTAAACGAGGGTTGCACATTTGAGTTTCATGTTTAGCATTTGGTTAAACTTGTATTACCAGTTATTAATTTAGAGGGAAGTGTCAAGACAAGAACTGCTTTCACCCCAGATATGGAGTTGATAACAGCAGGCCATTTCTGTTGTATCTCACTATACAGTGGCTTCCGAAAGAATTTAACCTCTTCACCTTTTTTCAGACTGTTATAAATTGAAAGGATGAATTTTGCCTTCTCATTTTAAGCTTAGCAGCAGTGTAGACAGATCAGCATAGACAGCCACATGAAACAAAAACAAATATTGTCTTACGCCCTGAGGCTGTGCTCTGCAGTTGTTCCTTCTGGCTTAAAAGAAGTCTCTGATATACAACTTCTGTATCTGCCATATGGATATCCTCATAGACTTTTTTAATGATGTTGAATAAAAATCCATTCTAGTCTAGTTTTTGTCAAGACTTTGCTAATATATTAATCAATGTAAATAAACAAAACAATGAAAACGATGAGTAAAAATCACCCACTAAATGTAAACTAAAGTCTCTCATTTGCAAAAGTATTCAGACCTTTAATTCACTACTTTGAAGAAGCTCCTTTGGCATCAGTTACAGCTTTGCATCTTCCTGGGTAAGGCTCTAAAAGCATTTCACACCTGAATTTGGGCATTTTATTTCATTCTTCCTGGCAGATCTTCTCGGGCTCTGTTAGTTTGGAAAGTGCCTGTGAACTGCCGTCTTCAGGTCTCTCCACAGATGGAGTTTAAGTCTTTGGCTGGGCAACTCAAGACCAGGAGAGACCTGTCCTGAAACCACTCTAGTATAGACTTGGCTGATTGTTGTGCTGAGAAGTGAAGTGTTGCCCCAGTCTCAGGTTGCAAGCCCTGGAGTAGGTTTTATTTAAGGAGGATCCTGTATTTGGCCACATTCATCTTACCCTCAGTTCTGACTAGTTCCCCTGTCCCTGCCACTGAGAAGCACCCCCATAGAATGGTGCTGCCCATCATACTTCACTGTAGGGATGGTGTTAGCCTTCCTGATGCCTGGTTTTCACCAGACATGATGTTTGGAGATGGTCATTCTTCCAGCAGGTTCTTCCATCTCTGCAGAGGACTTATGAAGTTCTGTTAGAGTAACCATTTGGTTCTTTAAAGCAAACGCAATCACAGTGGTCTGAATACTTTTATAAATGACAGGTTTCTGTATTTAAATGTAATACATTGTGGATTCAGATGTCAGTTTTATCCATTTAAAGTGAAATCTACAACATAATATGCAAAAAGTCCAGGGATCTAAAGATGTTCTGAAGCCACTGTATAAGAGCAGCTATGGTCTATATGCACTTACAGGCACTTGTATGTTAAGTGAATTTGTCTGTTGCATTTGGCTCTAATGGCTGTAACACACTGAAGTACAACAGCGGTTCTTGTACAATAACTAAGCTTAGGTAAAGTAGAGATCGAAATGCTCCAGTTCCCCAGGCAAAGCAGTGTGGACCCCCACCTTCAAACCTTACAACTTTCTTAACTATAATCAAACAGGTCAAATTTGTTATGGATTGTGTGATATCTGTTGTATCTTATCCTCAACTGAGCCTTATTTCCTTGTATATGTTCTTTTCCTTTCCAGTGGTGTATGTGGTTATCAGTGTGATCTTTCCAATGGGGGTCAGAGGCAGGGCTGTGTGTGTGGTGTCAGCTGTGAACTGGGCCACTAACCTGCTCATCTCTGTGACCTTCCTCACAATTACAGGTGAGTGTGTTAAAGGTTATAATTTAAGTGTAGGTTCAAATCAATTGTGAATTGACATTTTTAACTGTGACACATGTTTGTGCACTTCCCTTATCTTTTGCTCAGGACAGGCAAAGTAAGATGAATGTATTAGGGCAGCAACCAGCAAACTTGTAGCCAGAGACTTCATAGTTTCACTTGTTTACTTCCTGAATAAAGAAAGGTGTGCCTCACCATGTTCCTGGCCCAGCTGTTGATGAGTCACAGTGCTGTAAGATTAGAAAAGCAGGAAGACTATATGTAAAATAATCACTATTTAAACACTGAACCTTTGATATGCTGTTAGGGTTTAGCAGCAACTGAAGTGACGACATTGAGGTTTGTCAGTGTTATGACCTGGTAGTTTGCCAGTCATCCCTGTCGAGCACATCAAAACTTTATCAGCTGTAGCAGAACACAAACAGACATTTTCAGAATTGTGCAGAAATTTAAAGTAGTGTATCTTTGTTTTTTTATTTTTCTAGAAAAGATTGGTGTTCCCAATGTGATGTTCCTCTACTCTGCCATGAGCTTTGTTCTCCTGGTGTTTGTCTTCCTCTGTGTCCCTGAGACCAAAGGTCGCACGCTGGAGGAGATATCAAAAGAACTGGCTAAGAAGTAAGTGGCAGCTTGCGCATAAATTTGTTTGTTGTCAGTCTGGTAAACTAGTTAACGAAACTGATTTCTTTATCTTCCGTCTCCTCTTTTTGCTTTACCAGAAACCATTTTGAGGTGAGATTCTGTAGGCAGGTTCGGCCTCAGGAGAGTCTGATCAGCAGCAACAGCAGCAGCAGCATATCTACAAAGATCCAAGCAAACTGACTCCTTTACCAGACCACAACTGTACACCTCATCTGCAGAAGATTATAAAGAGAGAAAGAGTTATTTAATTCCTTTTCTTTTTACCTCTGTTTAATTTAAGCATGTGGTCGCAGTTCAGAAAAAGACATTTTTCTACCTTTTCTCCGGGACTGAAATCGACTCCCCTCCAGCCAGCAGAACTGATAAAGCCTTTTAGTCATATGTATGTTTACTTGAAAATCTAACACTAATCACCTCAAATGGCAATATAGCTAACACAATTTGGTTATTTGCTGGATTGCAAATGAATTCTTCAAACAATCAAATTTTATTTGTAGAGTGCTACTTTTGTACAGGTGCAATTCAAAGTGCTTTACAAAATGACAAGCTGATAAGACAGAACATGTGAACAGAAAGCATGACATTGTTTATGTGCTGCTCCCTGTTATGTGTAATGTAGTTGCACCAACAGTACATATTGTAATGTACACGATGACAGAAATATGCAAGAAGACCATAGTAGTCTGAGGTAGAGCTCTGTCTCCCCTCAGGTACTCTATAGCAGCGGTCCCCAACCTTTTTCGTACCACGGACCGGTTTCATGCATGAAAATGTTTCCGTGGACCGGGTAGTGGCACGGGGGTTCCAATAACAAAAACCTTTGTCAATTCATGTAATCTGAATGCAACAATTACACTTTATATTAGGCAATTACAATAATTCTACACTATATCAACTCACCATAATGCAGAATCAGTGGGAGCCCTGGGCTTGTTTCCCTGCAACAAGATGGTCCCATCTAGGGCTGATGGGAGACAATGACACACGCAATGTGTTCCTTATGTCCAGTCTGCTCCGTAATTTTGTCTTGGTTGCTGTCACTGCAGAAAAGCCCGCTTCACAAAGATAGGATGTAAGAGTTTGTTAAGTAACACTGCATAGTGTTTATAATTGTAACTCTTTCAAAAGTGTTAATTTAACACTTTTCCAGTGGTTCCCATATAAACCCCGAGAGAGTGTTAATTTTAACTCTAAGAGAGTTAAATTTGCTATTTCAAATTTGCTGTGGAGGTCGTGGGCTCCTCTTCTGGCTCCTCAGTTGGCCTTTCCCCTTTGAAAAGAAGCCCTTCAAAGACGTTTGTTTTTTGCTAGTTTGCGGGCTTATTTTTTTAAGCAACGTATCACGTGACGTCGTGACCGACACATGCGTCTTGACGTGTCAAGGGGCACAGGTGGATGATACGTCGTTTTTCATAATAAAACATCTTCCAGACTCTAAAAATCAATGCAATGGAAATTATATAAATAATTTATTCTTTCTGTGCGGCCCGGTAACAAATGCCTCACGGACTGGTACCGGGCCACGGACCGGTGGTTGGGGACCACTGCTTTATAGGAACACAATCAAGAGAATTATTCATAATTGAGCATGCTTGGCTCCGCTGTGTACTGTATGGTTGGCTGCTGAATCCTCAAAAAGAAATTAAGGAAAAATAATAAATTCGTCAGGTGTAGTAATATTAGTAGGTAGATAATTTATCAGCTAGTATTGTTGTAGTATAAAAAGACCTCAAAGTTATAGAGTATTCTTATTTGTTTTAGTGATGCCAAACCTTTAATTAATAACTGGAATGTTTTACTACTAGATGAGAATGACTTATGTTGACCTGTTCACAATTAAAACTGCACGTTTTTCAAAATCTGTACTTTGATACTTAGCCTCATGTTTTTTCCACTGAAACTTAGAAAATCATTATCGAAATTGTTACATGAAACCCAAGACAAGGAAAAATGATAATGGAAAAGCAGGTTTTGGCCTGTTTCATTATGAACTCTTATTTTTATACAAAATTATGAAAAAATGTAACAAATCTACAGTTGACACTGGTTTTGTCCCACATACTTAAGACAACAAGTGAACATCTTTCCCATCATAAACATTTATTACCTACATTCATATATATGTGGCGTTTATGCAAGTTGGACTCAATACGACTGAGAGCAGATTATGACAAGGATTGTGCTTTTCTGTTAAACCACTTCCTCTCCTTGTTACTTAAGAGAAAGGTATGATTCAGCAGTAGCACAGTGACGCGTACACACACATTCTGGTTGGTCTGCCTTCAGCAATGAACATCCACATGCATTTTCTTCAGGAAATGCATTTGTCTTTTTTAAATGTGTTTTTCACTCTGTTACATTGCTTTTCTGTTATACAGAAAGAAAATGCAAAAAAAGAAAAAATTATAAAAGAAAAACTACTATAGATATAAACTAGTAAGGCACATTTTTTTGGGAGGTGGTCGGAGGGCTGCACGATAAATCATTTTATGAGTGTGATTTAGATCCCTGTGCAATCTCAGCCTCGTGTGACAATGATGTAAGAAACTGAAACCAGAAAACTTTCTAAATGTGTGCCTACCCAGCAGCCGGATAGCTCGGTGGTTAACACCACTGTATTTGGTACGGCAGGTCAGGGTTCTGACAGCTCTGTGTGCTTGTCTATGGGACTGCAATAACCGTCAGCTCTTAGCAACACTTCAGCTTTCTTCAACCTTCAACCTTTCCTGATGTAAACAGTTCTAATCCAGTGTTTGTTTTATTTGTTGTTGCTGCGCATCTCTAAAAGATCAACAGTGCCAAGACTGAGTTATTCTTCTTCTTGAAATATATACTTAGACAATTTGTGAAATCATTCAAGAACTATTACAACAGTCATTATTTTGAAATGGCATTTCATCATTCTTGCTTAATAGAGTTTTTAGGGGTTATTTTTATTGTGATTATGGACATTATTATTGCAAAGTGCAATTTTTTATAAGTCTGTTTTTATTTAACCTCTGTCAACTCAATCTCTATGTTGCTTCGAAGGCTCAGCTCAGCTCCCCCAAAGAGCCAAGACAACTAAACCAGTGGTGGAGTTTCCATACCGAATGAAGCAGTAAAGTGCTTCAAACGTCACGAGTCACGTGACCAAACCACGCCTCAGCATGCTACTGCGCATGTGTTGGAGCCTCGGGTGTCAGGAGCTCAGCCCCACTGGGTGTCAGAGGACCATCAGTACTGACAGGTGAAGTGGTGAAGTGAACACTGATGAGCTGGTTACAGCCACCTATCAGTGTTTGGGGTATGGTAGCAAACCAACAGCGTCTAAGGACAGATGGCGAACTGGTGACTAGTGATGGGTGATAGAGGCTTTGTTGAAGCTTCAACACAGTAGTCACAAAAATGGTTCATTACTCAAGGCTTCAATGACACATCAGGACATCTAGTGGTCAAGAAAATGAAGCGCAATCAAGATGTGTCACTTATTAGTTCATGGATTATTTGGGATTTGATTCACCATGCACTCCTGTTCGACTACACTACATGGTTGTATGGTTTCAAGCTGACACAATAAAATAAACATGGACTCATGGTGAAGACCGTGTGTCTTATTTGGCACATCTGAGTGTAACCCTATATGCTCCTCACTTATATTTTGTGTTGTGAAACATTTAAATGCTACATTCATGATGTGCTTTACAGATTCAGACAGATGTCATGGCAAGGTGTGTTTTGGGGTTCATTGGTAAAGAGGTTCATGGGTATGTGGGCAAGGAGGATGTGCTTGTGCAACTGTTTGAGTTTTTATTGGGAAATAACAGTATATCCACAGTTTTCAGACACAAGCAGCTTCTCCTTTTACAGACTATCTCCCCAGCTTTGGAAAAAAAACCATTCACATGGCACAGATGAGGCTGGGGTACACAGGAAAGGCTTGGATAATTTATAGAGGTTTGTATTTGATCACCTACCAACCAGCAAGAATTCTGGCTCTCACAGACCTGTTAGTTTGTCTTTAAGAGGCCCTCCTATCCTCCACTCATTGCCTATATTAATTGCACCTGTTTGAACTCGTTACCTGTATAAAAGACACCTGTCCACACATTCAATCAGACTATAACTTCTCCACTATGGGCAAGACCAAAGAGCTGTCTAAGGATACTAGGGACAAAATTGTAGACCTGCACAAGGCTGGGATGGGCTACAGGACAATAGGCAAACAGCTTGGTGAGAAGGCAACGACTGTTGGCGCAATTATTACAAAATGGAAGAAATTCAAGATGACTGTTATCTCCCTCGGACTGGGGCTCCATGCAAGATCTCGCCTCGTGAAGTATCAATGATCCTGAGAAAGGTGAGGGATCAGCCTAAAACTACACGGGAGGACATGGTCAGTGACCTGAAGAGAGCTGGGACTGCTGTCACAACCTACCATTAGTAACACACTACACCGTCATGGTTTAAAATCCTGCAGTGCACGCAAAGTCCCTCTGCTCAAGCCAGCACATGTCCAGGCCCATCTGAAGTTTGCCAAAGACCATCTGGATGATCCAGAGGAGGCATGGGAGAAGGTCACGTGGTCAGATGAGACCAAAATAGAAGTTTTTGGTATAAACTACACTCGCCGTGTTTGGAGAAAGAAGAAGGATGAGTACAATCCCAAGAACACCATAACAACCGTGAAGCATGGGGGTGGAAACATCATGCTTTGGGGGTGCTTTTCTGCAAAGGGGACAGGACGACTGCACCGTATTGAGGAGAGGAGAGAGAATGGAAGGGGCCATGTATCGTGAAATTTTGGGCAACAACCTCCTTCCCTCAGTAAGAGCATTGAAGATGGGTCGTGGCTGGGTCTTCCAGCATGACAATGACCCCAAACACACAGCCAGGGCAACTAAGGAGTGGCTCCGTAAGAAGCATTTCAAGGTCCTGGAGTGGCCTAGCCAGTCTCCAGACCTGA